CGAATGCGAATCCAACAGCAGTAAATCCTGGAAGCTCCGTTAAACTGTTTACAACACTCATCTTGTGGACACCTTTTGCCTCTGAAGTAATCTGCTGTCCAAGAATAATATCACATACAAACACACACACACACACATACTCTCTCACACACACACACACACACACACACACACAAACAAAATCATCTTCGATGTGAATCGGGAAACAAAACCTTCGGGGGGGGGGGGGGGGGGGGGCTGGCAAGCGTCTAGTCATTGAGCTATCGCGATAGTCTAGAATGTGTCAGTTAGTCGAGGTTCCAGCGTCACCGCAGGACTGAAAACCTTCAGCGCCGGCTGGCAAGCATCTAATGACTGCGCTATCGCGACAGTCAAGAATGTGAGTCGGCAGAGGTTCCAGCCTCACTGCAGACATGTTCCCTTTTACTGCTCTGTTCGTGTCAGTGGAAATAATCGTCCCCATGTGGGATGCAATTTTTTATTATTTGAAGCTCCACCCTGGCTTTTGCCGGTGGCCCTGAATATAGACGGGCCATAAATATATAGCTTCACGGCTGAAATGGGTTTCTGGGACCTCTCCACGGGTGATCCTCATCCGCATGGAGGCACTTTGTGTCGTCGGGTGTGTATCGCTTGTGTGATGCCCTGGCGGGGTACAACTACCTACATACCTTAGTAGAAATCACACAAAATGTCCTCAACTGTCCCATATGCAAACTAATAGAAGCCTGTCAGTTCCAGCAACAACTTGAAGCTGGTACCAGAATGTACCGTATGTCAATAAATCCGAGTCTGAGGAAATAGAGTTTGTTGCCGGGGATTGCAACACGGTGGCATTTTTCGAGGTTCACGGCAGACATATCACGACTGCTCCGTTACCGAACGTTTACAAATATCGCCGCGAATCATGACAGATGTACACGTTTACTGCTATGCTAACTATTGTGAAATGTTCGATCTGAGGCACGTACGAATTTGCCATTAGTACATGTGGATAGGTTTTTAAATAATCAGAACTGTTTACGGGGAAGGAGCGAACATTAAAAAAAAAGGAATATAATACAGGAAATAATGTTGAGGTAAATGATGTACAGTGAACAATAAAAGACGTAATGGTGTTTGAGGGAAGGAAATTACGACAGTTTGAGGGAAAAGTAGTGAGTAAAAATAATAATGGAAGGAAAGAAATGAGGTACAGGAAACTCAGGAGTGATGAATGAGAAATTACAGGTGAGTTCATGAATGGAATTGGTTAAACAAAGGAAAGAATTAAAAAGCAAAGAAAGATACAGAAAAAATAGAATCAAAGAATGGGACAAATGAAGGGAAGAAAGAAGATGGAAAGCAAACGCAATTTTAAACGCGAATTGGTGAGAGAGAAAACAGAAGAAAAAAAAAGAAAAAAAATTATTGAAAACAGGGTAAAGAGGGACGAGAATGAGAAGGAAATAATGAGTTATTATTGCTGAATTACCGTCACTAAAATTCACTGAACAATTTTAAACATAAATTTAGCACACCAGAACTGGATAAACAAACGTGAAAATAATGAAGGAGACGTGGATGTGTCTCATGCAGAAAGGATAAAAGCCATGAAGAGAAATAAGAAGATGAGAGAATAAGAGTTAACATGTTGAAAGTATGAAAGACACGATAACAGTGTGACAGGGGAGAGTGGCGGTGATTTGAAGAATAAAAAAAGCGAAGGATGAAGAAGTGAGAGTACGGAACATTATACGGATCAAATAAATAAAAGACACACCCAAGGGAAAGACACGGGAGGGATATAAGAGTGAGGTTGTATTATAGCAAGGGATGAAAGATGCCAATAGAAGAGCGGAGAGGGCAGGTTGGGGTTGTTCCACAACGATAGATAGAAGACACCAAGAGAGCCGCGGAGATGTGAGGGTTAGGTTAGTTGCGTATCCTTTACAGGACGTCGCAGAACCAACTTGTGTGGTTTTTCTAGGCAAATTTACGTCCAGTAGTTTGCCATTGCTTCTGGACGGTCGGCTTTCTTGATACCACTGTTGAAACCATAGCAAGGCGCATGGCCCAAAGCTGGGATCGAACCCGGCATCCCGCATTACGAAGCGTTCGCATTGACTTAGCCACAGAGGCGACTGGAGATGTGAGAGTGAACGTATATTACAGCGAAACGATTTTTTTAAAACATGAAAAGGATAAAAGACCTGAATAAAAAAATAGAGAAGTGACAAAGGGCGTGTATTATATATAGTGAACGGAGAGAAGACAAGAACAGACGTGCGGATAAGAGCATGGACGTTTGTGGAAGTAAACGTATGGATGGTACAGCTACCAGTTACACCTACTCAAAACACACAATGCTTCTTTGCATATTCTCCCATGGCAGAAAGGTAAAAAATGACACACCACTATAAATAAATCTGTCAAATTTGACGGACGAAAAGCGAGTGATAAGACAAACACCGACACAACCTCGTGCTAATCGTCCAGATAGTGTCGCCTTGCATAACCACCTACATATACACAGAGAGACACTGGCATAGATTCCCACGTCAGAGGATCGCTTTCTGCATGTGTTAGATAGCATTCATCAGTCAAACAGCCGTTGAATATGATAGCACATTCAATTCTCGTTTTAACAATACAGAATGGCTGAACAAAACAAAAAACAAAGGAAACAAAGTTACGGAAACGCTCAGACAATATAAAAAACGTCTGGGCACATTTTTTTTTTTTTTTCAAGTGAACAAAACTAGCTCGCTATACTATAAAACAAATACATTCACCAATGATATGTCTACACTATCATATCTGACTATATTCAGATATACTGACATATTTGTATCACATCTACTTGTATGCCCAACATGTACTCTACAATATTAATAAAGTAACAGAAAAATAACGTTAGTTGCGTATCCTTTACAGGACGTTGCAGAACCAACCCTAACAGCCCCTGGCTGTTGGGTGGTTTTTCTAGGCAAATTTACGTCCAGTAGTTTGCAACAGAAAAATATCTTTCCTAAATGTTTGTGTATTCTAGGCAAAGCATTAAGGTCTACTGTGTTCGTAAACCGTTGCTGTGCTTTTTATTCGACATATGCTTCGTTAATATAAATTTATGTAACCTGTGGTGCCATTTCAATGGATGGAAGTTAATTCTGTCCGTATTCCATATATGTGGATTTCAAGCTGTACGATAGACATGGCCAATAAGACACATTTTCTGGGTGAGGGGAGGGGGGTTCCTAGTTGACCATGTTCTTAGTGCAGTTGTTTCCATAGCGGGGCGAACACGCCATTTGGAGGTGACAGGTTCGACACAGCTTTCGATCTTTAATTTGTCGGGTGTGTTCTTCTATCTTTCTTCTTCTTTCTATGAGTGCCGACCAATACATTTTCTGTTACTTTATTAATTTATAATATTTAACGACCTCAAGGGTTTCCCCTATGTTTTTATGGGTACTCTACTATATCAAGTCTACTTTCAAGTCCATAATGTCCCTGCTATATTACCTCTACTTTCATGTCCAAAAGGTAACTACTGTTTGGTCTATAAGGTAGACACACGCCCAAAAATAAACAAATGGACTGTGAGTTTATTCCTATTCTGGCTGATAAAAGCGTAGTCAGTAAACCAGGTCATTGTAAGACATTAGTAATCTAACTTTGATTGTTCCGGAGTAGGCGTCCTGGTGGAGCCGTCTCCACAAGGTTGAGGTCAGCGTACGTACAGACTGTTGTCTTTGTGACCATTACCTGGCGACATCCCAATCTTCTCGTCAGTGCAAACCTCGCACCACTCAACAAACCTGCTGGCCACTGAGACGGGTAAAATAAAAGTAAAGGACCTTATCCGCGCATTTAGGCGTATATACGGCATTTAGGGCTAGACCTATATTTTTATAGACCAATCGGCACAAGATGGGTGATAGGGTCAGCATCACGCCGGTCACCTTTACTTCCCGGGACTGCACCCGGTACCCACTCAAGGCTGGGTCGACCTGGGAGTCAAGGTCATTTTTTTTATTAAGTCCGGCTCCCCCCTAGGAAGCGAACCCATGACCTTCCGATCCGCAAGCGAGCGTCTAGCCGCTACGCCACGGCGACTCCCACTGAGACAAGTGGAAGGAGCAAAAGACACTATATAAACACAATAGGAAATGAAGACAAGCTACATAACCAGAAACAGAAAAAAAACTGCATATAATTCCCTCTCTGCGACCCTTGGCGGCACAAGAAGTAGGACAAAAGAAGAAAACAAAAAGAAACACTACAGAAACCTGAACCAAGACCGGCTCCAGCTGACGCCGGCCTTGCCTGGCCTTTAGTACTTCAGAATCATGAAACTGTTAAACACATTCACTAATCTCTTAAGCTATATAGCCAGCTACATTAGTTTACAATTGGCTGGATCCGCATCAAGTCAGATTTTTTTTATTCAGTGACTTTGACACCCAGGATGACCCAGCTTAATAAAATGAGTCCCACGGAATGTTCTGGAAAGTAAAGGTGACTGACACCACTCACTGAGTACTGACCATTCTTTAAAAAAAACATGGGTCTTGCACCATATGCCCAGTGTGCAAATAGTGTTATAAGGTGTCTTTCACTTCCTTTACTGATTTTCAGAAATGTTCTAGAGCACTGGGGAGCTGTCGTGGTGTAGAGGCTAGATGTTTGCCTGCGGATCGGAAGGTCGCGAGTTTGGGTCCTGACGATACTGGACTTTTTTCAAAAAAGAACTTGGCTCCCAAGTCGACCTAACATTAAATGAGTACAAGGTGGAGTCCTGAGTGAGTAAATGCAGCCTGCGTGATGCTGACTACATTACCCTGCAAGTGCCGATTGATCTAAAAAAAAAAATCTACTACAACTACTTCTGCTGCTGCTACTACTACTACTACTACTACTACTACTACAACTACCATTACTACTACTACTACTACTATACACACACCCCACCCCAAGACAAGAAGGAATATAACATCCTGTTGTAATTTGCAACCTACCTTGGCACTGAAATCCCTGCTTGCCAAATCCCCTGAAAGCACAAAGGAAAAAAAAAGGGATCAGCTCAGTGTAACAACTAAGTACTTAGCTTGACAGGCTAGACAAAAATTAACAATGTAAACAAAAATGTGCTACAAGCTGTCTAATCATTACACTGACCAGGTTGTATTTAGTTTACCAGCCAGCCGGTGCACAGCTTTTACAATGTAAGTGTGTTTATATGAAAACAGGTCAACTGGTTATGTATCAAACCAATTAGAATGGTTTAGCCAAGTTGTAAAAAATGGATTCTAACAGGCAGAAAGCATTTACTGAGCAATTACAATATACAACAAAGAGACTTTTTTTTAAAAATAAGAAATAGAAAGCACAGCATTTAGCTAAGCCTGTAGGAAAATAATTATTATGTACTAGACTGACACTATCTGAGTAGACAGAACAAGAAACAAAAACCTTTCATAATTAGAACGATAATGAGTGGTGGTGGTGGTGGTGGGGGGTAAGACATTTTGGTTTGAAATGCATAAAATAAAAAGAAGGAAACAGTGCTTTCAGAAAAGAAAAAAAAAGGAAAAAAAGACAGGCTCAAAAAGGTGAAATTAAACAAGAAGGGAAAAAACATTTATTCCAGCAATGTTTTTATATATACTGAAGCTGTCACGAGAGACTTAGAAATCAACTATGTTGTTACCTGTGAGGTGTGTTCTGATTTTATTAACACAGTTCTGCTGTATCATAAAACTGTACTACATATTAACTCAGAAAATTTGGCTAGTAATTTGAAGTGGCATTTAGAATTGGTGTGGAAGGGGGAGGGGGGGGGGGGATATTTAACACCGAAAGAAAAACATAGGCAGACTTCAGGTTGCAACTGGTGCTATTAGCATGTGGACTCTTCAGTGGCTACTGAGGAAGTGGACAGAGAGCACCTTTGGGAATGTCATCACTAGTGCAGTGATGTCAATTCATGATTCATTCGCCCCAGTTTATCCTGCTATCCAAAGCAAGTACGGATTATATATGACTTTGTTTACTTTTAAAGGGATAGTTAGTGCCACAGCAGGTTACTAATGGTTTCATTAATGTGTGTTGGCACAATCAGTATTGCTATTATTCTCAGTTCTCAGTGCACGCCAAAGATAATTTGTTTTTAATGCAGGGAATGAGCAACTTCATCAACAAAAATAATATTTTTAAACATAATAATTAAGTTTTTGTAACTGAGTATTTCTCTCTCTTTTTTTTTATATTATCCCCCCCCCCCCCCCCCCCCCCCCACACACACATACACTTGAGCACGCACGCGCACACACACACACATATATATATATATAAATTTACTGGACTTTTAGCACTGCGAAATTTTATTCACCTAATTCTACACCAAGCAAGTTATAATACATAACTCTTTTTGTCTCTTTGCGGCTGCTAATTAAAGTAACAAATTTGTGGGTGGGAAACGGTTCAAATAACAATAATCCGGGACAGAAGAAGAGCAAAAGATACTTAGGCAAGGAGTTATATTAACAATAACTCACAATAAATTAATATGACAGCTGTGTAAATCAGGCACTGTTGAGTTGAGTCAAGAATTGACATCACAGCACTCTGGGCATTCCTATGCAAGCTCCGCCCTCATCTTCAGAGCCAGCACAGAGTTCCAGTACTGACGGTACCGGTCACAATCTGGTTAAAAGTCCATCTTGCATTTCCTCTGAGTAGTGAGTCAGCCAGACTCTCTGGTTACACCCAGGTGCCTCATTCTCTCCAGGCCATTATAATTTTCTTTCTCTACTGATTCCGTTGCTTGTTTCCAAAGGGCCTTGGCCACATCTGCCTTGTCATGTATCAATTCACCACCCAATCTGTCTGCCTGTTCATTACCCACCATGCCGGCATGACCAGGAAAAAAGATCCAAAGTATGCTCACCGCCCGTGACTTTTCCAGTGAAGTTAGCCACTCTGCTCGAAGCATCCTTGTCCTCACCTTTTTCAGCATGCTTTCAGAGTCTGTTACAATTATGACATGTGTATGCATCTTGTTCTCTAGCCACCCGAGAGCTGCAGTTACCGCCTCCACCTCCATTCTCATGCTAGATGATGTGGTGTCATATGCTAGGCTGTCTTGTACTAAAGATTTTCCATTGGCCTTCGCTACGAACCCCCAGGCACTTCTCTTTCCTCTCAAAACTGAACCATCTGTATAGATAATCAGATAACCTGAGCATGAATTGTCATGAATCAGCTGTTGGACTTCAACCTCAGTAGAACCCATTTCCTGTCTGTTCTGGAAACCTTCTAAGGTATCAAAGGAAAAAGTGGCTGCATTTGACCATGTGTCCTTTCCCGGCTGGTAACTCCCCAATCCTCTGGGAAGGAGATTACTCTGTTCTAAAAATTTGTGTAGCTTACTCACAGTAAACTAATATAAAATTTGTGTAAAATAGAAACAGGTAATGAAAACAATTTAGTTCCTGGATATGCCTTCTCTGGCAATCATCAAGGTTAAGTGATAGATAAATGCAATAAAACTGTTGAAATAATACAGTATGGGTCAAAAAGGTGTTAAGGAAATCACATCTAACAAAACAAAGAGTGTTATAATAACTAAGACAGACTGGGTTTACAAAAAAACTGCCTGGGACAAAAACATGTTAGCTCCTCATACTTAGAGAGCATGCTAATTCCTCAATCCCAATCAATGCCTGGTGTGTTAATGATTTTATCTTTTGATTTCATTCCAGAGCATAATGTGCTCTCGCATTTGTTTATACTTAGTCAGAACCTACTAAATAAATCTGGATTCCCCAAACGTTCACAACCCCTGTGTAAACTGCCACTCTGAATGCAATTAATTCACAATTTGTAATCAATGCATTTTTCTTCAGTTGCTGACGTATCCCCCATTAGACCTTATGGTACTGAAAGAGTTAACCAATGTTGTCTCTGACATAACGGAGGTGGAAGTAGAAATAACAAGAACTTTCCACTGAAGTTTACAGCTGGTGAACGTGAAGAAGAAGAAGAGATCATTTTTAACACTATTTTCAAGCTAGGCCACAGTACAGAGTTCTAGACTCATATTTCCATATACCAAATGGCACTCAATATGCTATTTGGTTATCACCATGCAAGCCACCAGATCAATCATGTCAACATGACCATTTTAGGCTGTGTTGACCTGGAAATCAAGGTAAATTATAAAACATTTGCTTTGAATGCAAATTTGAAGTCTAGAATATGTAGCCAGCAAGCAAGTATCTAGACTCTCATCTGAACTATTTGTGTCTCAAGCAACATGTAATGTGTTATTGTCTTTCATGATTCCAACCATCAGGTAATATGTTATTTAACATTTTAGAATTTACTTTGAGCATACTAAGGAAATCTGGTTTTTCAAGTGGCCACTTACACTGTGTACTTTGCCTCTCTGAAAGTCATCAACATCATCCTGTTGTGCTGTTTAGATTTTATACAGGGCTTAGTGTTTATTTAATTCATACACTCATGATTCTTCACACTGTTTATTTCTTCTGCTGGGAGATAGATATGCTCAATGCAAAGTGGCAAGCATCACTTCAGAGGTCCTGGGTAATTAGCATTCTTTGGATATTTTCTCCAGCGCATGCAGTTGTGTAGGGAAAAAGCAAGGTAGATAGACTGGCTGGTTCTGCAACACTTGGTGGTAAACTGATGCACGACAGGACAGATACTGTAACTGCCTTTCGGCAGTGAGTGAACAGTGCAGAGGCACAGATAGATCATTACTGTCTGAAAAGAATGGTGCAGCCAAGAGTAACAAGAGGATCTGGCCAATGCTAAACACTCATGGTAGGGATGACAGTCGAACAAACACACTGCTATTGGTACCAACAGAGCTGGAACACTGCACCTGCTGCTAAGATAGGGTTGTAGTGCTTATGGGAATGTTCCAAGTGCTATGATGTTGGTTCTTAATTCACAACTCATAGCTTCTACTGGGTATCTATTGTGGTAACGCTGTGGTATTGAAAGATTTAAAGTAACATTCTTCTGGGTAGGGAAACAGAGTTAAAATAATAAATAACTGACTGAGAAAATAGGATACTGAAAACCACTAGGCTACAGTAGGGTAAGCTGTCTGAAATATGAGTTAAAATTGTTCAACTATAAGTAGGTGTTACTTTATAACGCTTTCTAACATACCAGGTAGATAAGTATTTTAACTAATAGATTATTTGGAAATAATGGAGATACAATATTTGCAGCATGGCAACAAGAGATTAAAATTACATTTGGGGTAGCACCTGTAAGTGTGGGAGCTCCCATAATGTTGCAGCTAAACACCTGATTGCGGATCTGAAGGTTTTTGGTTCAGGTTCCAGAATAGCCAGACATTTTTCAAAAGTGACCTTGGCTTCCAGGACAACCAAGTCTTAAATGGGTACTTGGGAAAGTCCTGGGAAGTAAAGGTAACCTGCCTTATCTTGACCACATTACCCCCCGAGTCCCTACTGGTCTATACAATATAGGTCTATCCCTATATGTCCAATACGCCTGAAAGCATGGAAAGGGGTCCTTTACTTTTACCTTTTTTACCTTTTAGTGTAACAACTGGAAAGGGTAAAAATTAATAATGTATATCATATTTTTTTTTTTTAAAGCAGTCTATTACTTCAGAATATGTGCCTTGACAAAAGAACTAGGTCAGAATGTAACTAGTGGCTTTGAATGTGGGCCTAATATACACAAATTAAGAAAACAAATTAATATTAATATTTTTGAGAATTGTCATTGCAAACTTCATATTAATGTCTCAGCTGAATACGATGTGGAAGAGCAAAAACAGCATTGCAGTCCAGGTCAATATTTACAAATCACTGGTATTGTCTATTTTTGTATACGGATGTGAGAGTTGGACTCTCACTGTGGAAATGGAAAGGAGGATTCAGGCTTTCGAATGTAAATACTACAGACGCATTTTACGAATTAGTTATTAAGAACACAAAACTAACAAATATGTCAAAGACCAAATTCACAAATGTGCAGAACATCAGAAGCCTCTCTTGGCAGTGGTGAAACATCGCAAGCTAGCTCAGTTTGGGCACGTGGTGAGACAAGATTCTATTGCAAAGACTGTACTTCAAGGAAAAATAGAGGTGGGGGGGGGGGGGGGGGGGGGGTTTGTCTAGTCGAAGAAAGGAGGGCAAAGAAGAACCTGGAATGACAACATCAAGAAACTGACAGGACTAAGTTATTACACACTTATCCATCAAGCGGAAGACAGAGAAAAATGGGGGGTTTTAAGTGCTAGTGCTTTCATCAATACACCTACATTACCTTGATGGGTCAAGGGTTTATTGTTATGTTATATCAAAACGGTTGGGAAATGTGAAGTTAATATAAACATGTTAAGAGAGTAAATAATGTAGGTGTCATGATAAAAATTTCATTGCTAAATTAGTACTCAAAGTACACAATTTCAATACTAGATTAGTATGAAACCCAATAAGGGGAAAAGACAGGCCTATTTAACTAGAATTTGTCAAAATATAAAGTGCATCATAGGCGCAGAAACCTACAGGTTAAGGGCTCTATTTTTATTGGGGGGGGGGGGGGGCTCAGCCTACCCAGTACATTGTGTATGGGGGGAATAAGAGGCCCCTTTTAAGCCTGTACTGAAATTGTCCGTATATATTTATACATTTCATATTTACTTCAAGGCTATTAATACACTGATGTTTGTCATAATCAGGATATTTTTAACTAGAACTTTCAAGACAATAAGGTGCATACCAGGGGAGCCTCTTCTCCCAAAATTTGTTTAATATAAGAAGAGGTTTACCCCCCCCCCCCCCCCCACCCCTTTTCCCCCCCTTTCCAACCCAAAATAATAATATTCTAGAAGTTTTATATGGCAGATGGGAAGGGGGGAAGGGGGGGGGGGCTGAATCCACCCAATGTTTTCTTTATTTTGGCTCACCAAGGTGCAGCAAAACAGCATCCAGAATTTACAGTAACCACCCATGTATTAGCAGACCCCATGATGAAGGGTACAAAGATTAATAAATATTACCTATGAGGTGACTAAGGTGGTCTGGCACGTGATTGGCATTCTGTGGAAAATGTTACCGGCAAAACCCAACCTATTACGAATCAATACAAAGACATAGTGAGTTATGCGAGGACCCATGCTCCAATGTGAGATAAACCGGGAGAATTAAAAGCAGTTATACATAATGATTCTGTGTCTGATTGAGAAGTTAGAAAAGGGTTTACTATTTTCTAGATGGTTAGTCATACATGGTGAGGGTTCAGCTATTGGCAGCGGTGCAATAACAATAGTTCAAAACATACGATACGTGTTTAAAGCTTTGGTACTCCTGTCAAATCCGGACGAAGACTAAAAAGCCTTGGACGACTTAGAGTTCTCTCCCGTGGCCGCACTCCAAACAGTGATCGGAAAAGCCACAACGAAACAAAGAAGACAGTGACGTCGACATCAGGGCTGCCAATGCTTGGTTGTTTCCCCCAGATCTGGGTTTTTTTTCGACGCTGCAGGACAAATCTGGTTGTTTTTGGGTGTGTTTTGTTTGTTGGTTTTTGCCGATTTGTATGATTAGGGGTTAGGGCTAGGGAGTAGAATTAGGATTAGGGTTAGCGGTAGGGTTAAGTTTAGCGTTATATTTGACAATTTTGACGCCGGAGTTCCCTATAATCGCGCACAGTCCCATACACACACAAACAATCGAGGGCCTCTGGATGCTAATCAAACGCACATTCGCCAAACGATTGGGGGGCACCAGCCGCACGCTATTGGCGTCATATTTGGCAGAGTTTCAGTGGCGCCACTCCCACAAACATCTGATTGTCGGCCAGTATTTCGAAATCCTACGTCAAAAATTTTCACATCTAACCCTAACCCTACCCCTACCCTAACCCCTAACCCTAACCCGACCCCTAACCCTACCCCTAACCTAACCCTAAAAAAAAAAAACCCTAACCATAACCCTACCCCTACCCCTAACCCTACCCCACCCCTAACCCCAACCCTACCCCTAACCCTAACCCTAACCCGACCCCTAACCCTACCCCTAACTCTAACCCAACAACCGCATGATGATGACTACACAACCATTCACAATGCCTCACGAAACCGTACGCAGCCCTACACGCAACCGCAGGATGATAGGTAAGTGTGTCGTTTATTTCGTTTGTTTTCCGATTACTGTTCGGAGTGCGGCCAAGGGAGAGAACTCTGACTAACTCGTCCACGGCTGTTTATTCTTCGTCCGGATTTGACAGGAGAGCCTAAACTTTAATTCATACTGTCTGCGCTATTAATCTAAGTCTTCGTTGGCTTATTGACGGTCACCGCTTTTGTAAAAAACGTGTTTGGTTTTTGATTAAATTTAGTTCACTTTATTAACTTGTACAACTTTGTTCATAACTTTTCCGCGTAACCTAAATCGCAAATAATAAAAATCTCTAGCGGTCAGAGGCTAGCAGACAACATGAAAAGTTAACCACTATGATAACAAAACTAAATCAATAAAAGTTTTCCTCGACGCACATAAAAGTTAAACTTACCAAATAAAATCCTTGCAATGACTGCAGAAAGTTGGTTGCTTGAAAAATCTAGCTAAAAATTTATGATTTTTCACTTCATGTACATTCTTTTGGCGTAAAGCTCCTCTCCTAACAACTCCTTTCGCAGCTGGCTCCATGTCAGCCATTTTGCTGAAGTAAATGTTTTTGCCGAAACGATCGCGGCAAGGGAGGGCATTGCGTTGGCTTGCAGCAGACGACTGTCTGCGTGCCGTCTGCCACAACTTTCATAACTTGGAAGCGGTGCGAAGATCGTCATAGCTCTTCGGTTGGCGTAAAAAGTAGTAAGTCAGCAGAAAAGGAAAAAAAAAATATTGTTGTAGATGCACGCGTGTTTATCAGGTAATGTAGAAATACTGGATTATTACGTAAACATCCAGGTAGGGAAAGAAAGAGTAGGAAGCCCGGGCTGTTTTAGAGTGACTGTGGATCTACACAGGTGCCTGGATCTACACACCGAATCATGCGGGCATAAAGGGAAATGAGCGAGCGGACCAGCTGGCAAGCACTGCACTAAGCATTGCGGGAAAAAAGCATGGACAGAGCAGATATGGTCAACGCTGTACGAACTGGGCTAGTGGATAATGAGGAATCCCTGACACTGGCACGATTGCGTGACATGGGAGTAAAGCGTGGTGAAGCACGCCTTTGCCGTCTTCGAGGCCGAGATAGGAGACAATATAACCAGCTTCTCATGGGAACAATTAGTAGAATGCCTAATGTGCAGTAATAACAGAAAATAACATAACATCTTGTAGGGAGTCGGAAGTCCGAAACCCAAACTGCGTGGCTGTTGCGTGAACAGTCATTAACGAAGGCAGTCAGGTCGTTGTAGGGGCAACGCTTGCTGGTGGATGTAATGTCTTAAGTCCCTTCCTCAGCTAATAGTGAGGGTACTGCTGGGGTGACCGTTTATTAACCTCACATAATACTTCAGGTCAAAATGGACACTAGGCACGGCCACTTCTTTTAGCCGTTGCAAATTTGTTTGCTACTACCAGACGGTGGCCGTTGCTTTTTTGCTCCATTTGTAGACTGGAAGGATATAGTTTCGTTGCACAGCTTCTGAGTTGAGTGCATGGCGTGACACTGTGAGCTGCGGATTTCATTAGAACTGTGATAAACATTGTGTGTGTTTTTCTGTGGCACAGGAGCGGAGAAACTATGGGAATGACCCGTTTGCTATGAAGCTGAAACTAAGATTACCAGATTACTAGAGTGACTGTGGTTGGCTACTGTCTTAAATGAGTAATATAATCAGTTATCTAAATGTGAAAAAATGATGGCTCTAAACTACTGCGTGTTTATCTCTTAATATAAAAGTAAAGGAATTATCACATTTTTAAAAAAAAAAAAAAGAAAGAAGGAAAAGAAAAAAAAGTCAGTTCTTGTTAGAATGAGTGAATCAGATAGGCTTGCTACCTAAATAAGTAGTCATTATAGTAGTCTGGAACAAAGTAGATTCTGGTGAGTTTACCAGTAATTTAGAAGTAGAAAAACGATGTCACCGGTGATATCCCTCTGTGCCACCATCGCAGTTTATCCGTCATTATCTATCTCGGTCTGTCCCTTCTTCTTCTATCGCTGATACTCCCAACTATTCTCCAAAGCCCCTTCTTCTTCTATCGCTGATAGTCCCAACTATTCTCCAAAGCCCCTCCGTCCCCCTCATTACATGACCAAAGAACAGTTCTTGTCTTTTCCTTATAGGTGTAGGTATAGGGTGGAGGATATAGAGAACATGTATTGCAAAAAGCAAAGGACGCTGCGCCGGGGCAGACAGAGTCAGGTATGCCTACATGAGGAACATGATTGATGAAGACTTGAGGAGGATGGCTTTTTACTTCAGCCAGAGCATCAAAACAGCTTCAGTACGCCAGGAATGGGTATATAGCTACCTAATTCCACTTCCAAAACCAGGTAAAGATCATTCCAGACTCCGCGGTTTCAGGATTACCATCCTACAAAATACGTTTGACAAGGTGCTAGAGAAGACTATTGTGTTAAACTACAAATGTTTTTGGCAATGGAAGAGCTGCTGACTAAAGTTTTGGGTAGTTAACGGTCACAGTAAGATACCTGGTCAAATGCAGCTACTTTTGCTTTTGATGTTTATGAGGGGTTCCAGAACATACAAAAGACTTGATCTTGAGGATGCCTACAATAGGGTCAAATATTATATTTTGATTTCTGCAATCATGGTTTTGGATACATCTTAAACGTAAAAATATTCCGCGTGTGACCATAGTGGTCATATAGTTGTCTTCCTGCACTAAGAACACGTTAATCGTGTCATAGAGATGTGTGTGAAATGTTAGGTGAAGCCTCACAATGATTCTACCCGTCATTTGTTATAGTGTGGTCCCATTGTGTCAGTTTGGGTTGGTAGCTAGTGTCGCCTTACCCCCGTGGGTATATACACTTATTTAGTGAGTATGGGTTTGAACCCTAACCGTGTCCACCCACGTGAGAAACTGGACTATCTAAGCTATGTTGATCCTAGACAATCCTGGATAACCAAGAAAACAGCGAGTGGCTTGTTTCATTAGGTGAAAGTAGCTGTACTTGTATCCACAAGAGTAGAAGGAATGGATAGATATCAAAATGAACCCAATGAGATAATATCAAGATACACAGTTAACACCTCCGACTTTCTCCTCTCCTGGTATTAATTTGTAACAAAAAGCCCCCATCAAGTGATTTACATATTTGTGAGCTGTAGTAAACTAGTATGCACAAAGACACTTGAAAAAGTACACGATTTACTCAAGTATTTTATAACAACATAAACAAGATTTTTTGAATAAATCTAACCAAAAATAAAATGAACGTTTTTAGGCTAGTAAAGTGAAGATGGTGTTATTGATGAAATTAATTCATTTGAAAGTTATACATAACTCATGATATTGGAGAAAATAAACCCCTGGCAGTTCTCAGTTTGAGACACTGTCTATCCTTTTCCAGTCTGTCGTCCTCGCTGCTTCAAGCAGGTCGTTACACGCAGACGATCTGCAAAGAATGGATGCCTACTAGTCCATGCCAAATGTGGGAACTGTGGTAAAGAAACAAGCGCATACGTGTAGTATCTAGACTTACGCCAAACATGTATAGACTTACACCAAACATGTCTATTCTAATAAAATATTTCATCTCTTCCTCATAATCACATTCTATCCTGTCCAGTCTGGAAGGTCTTTGTCTCACATTGTAGTCATTACATTTCCTGCCTTCCTCTACTCAAGTCCTGTAATAATAGTTGAGTCTTCTATGTCTGATGTCATCTCTCATGCAGACTTAAAATGATAATCAGTTAGGCAGAACAAGTTCTGGAATTAATGTTGGGAATAATGGGCACGCCCAGAATGATAACAATATTTCTGGGGTGATATCAAATATTAAATCTCAGGGATTTACTCTCCGGGATCAATCTTTGAAATTAACCTCCCGAGAGTTGAACACATCTCAGTGTGTTAGCTGTATGTAATATAGATATAAATTAACCACACGTGAAAATACTGCCAAAATTATCTTCACACTTGTGATTTTAGAAAAAATGATAGTTCATTAAATGTCAATGGTAACATCAACACTTAAGTTATACAACATTGAAACACATGTGCATGAAAAACATTCATGACAATATCAATTATGACCCATAAAGCAATGTGACAGTGCCCTTAAAGAATAGAGAAATGTCCGCTAAATAGTTCTGCAAAGTGATGAAGACACACACTTGAGCCAAGAGACAGTTGAGATTTCTATCACCAAATAAAGGTTGAACATAGTTTCGCTTACCTGGAAAATGAAAACACAATGCCAAAAGTTATGTCTTAAGCTTAGGGTTTAAGCACTTCCAAGCTCTAGAGTCCACCCTTTTATAACTTCTTCTAAACTCTTCTAACATTACTCCTAAAACCACTCTTATTCAAGGAATTCACAGCTCCTCCTCGTGGGTAAGTCTATTTACTGTCAGTCAGGACTGTACAACACTTGTTTGCATTTCCACGTTATCTGCTCCTAAAGGTCAGGCTAGGAGATAATTATCTGACACCTCAGTTCTGCAAGCAAAATCTCTAGCCACTAGGTCTGAGATTTCAATTTCACTGGTGCCACATAGTCTACCTGCTTATTCTTATCTGTACCTTAACACTTTACATCTGGGAAAAAGTCTCAGTGTTTGATATCACCAGCAGTCCAGGAGAATTAAATAGGTTTGTTCTGGTAGTTGATTTAAATTTAGGATATATCCAAAACCATATTTTTCTGTATACCTAACAAACAATACATAGAAATAAAAGTTGGTTGAGGAAAGACATTCTGAAGTAACGAGCGTGTCGTCACAGCTATGCTCCGGTGTACGTAAATACCAGATCCCTGGAATACTTAGCTCATGCTTTGAGATCCAAATGTTCAGCCATGAGGATTGTTGTGGCTTGTGAGGTACCGGACTCAATTGCTCTCCGAGGGAGGGTGTGGGGATTATATTCATAGTGCGAGTATACTCATTTATAGTGAACTCAAGGGTAGGGATAGCTTTCAAAGAAATTAATTACCTCTTTTCTGTTATAATCTTTAGCCTCACAATAGAAACTGGCTGTAACAAGGGCATAAGCATGGCTGGGTACTCAAGAGTTTACTCAGACGTGTACACTTAGAGACTCAAAGAATATGCTTAAGAAGATCCAGGGTGGGTTCATCAGAAAAGAATGGACTGTATTATTAAACACTTTGCGAATGACTGAACACATCCTTACATGATGTTGATGTCTGCTATGTTGGTTTGTTATTCGGAAAACTCAAGTAACATAATGGACTTACATCTCCCCTACACATAAATCAATAAACACTCCAAGATTATTAAGAACTTTTACTTCCAAATACATAAAATAAGTCAAGGATTCAAAAACTAGAATTTGGTTGTAGAGATCACATTAAAATAATGTAAGTACTGTCATAGTGAAACCTTATAGTTTTTTCTGGTTTTATAGTCTAAATTAGTTATAGTTTTCAGGGCTATCCTCCGAATAACGGTCCCAAATTATCGAGGCCGAAAATATACCCTATCAGGGCCTCATTCACGTGTCAATTACGAACTTCCGGCGACTTAAATTGCGCACTTCCGCCACCG